TTCATATGTGGCAAGTCAACTGGACATACATGAGTAGCGTGTGTGTTACTTTCTCAACAATTTGGTTTTCGGTTCATAATGGTGAGTTTAAATCCGCGGAGAAAGCTGCAGTGAGGCAGTTCGCATATGGGTTAACTCGGGTCGCATTTATTTTAGGAAGAAATGTCAAAAGCTTTCACTGACAGTATATCAATAGCACTTTCTCACTTTTGCTCGTACTGAACAGTTCTGTCGACGGAATAGCTCATTCTCTTTCACTGGACGATTATTTTCGCGGATGTAGCTAGGATCGCCATTCTTAAAATTAAAAGGACTTCTTGGCTATAAGATAGGTAGCTATTCATTTCTATGTGCATATTCTTAATCCACTTGAGAACTTGAGAATTGGTTTGGTTTATTGATGACAACTCATTAGTTTCCCGGCAACGGCTCGTTTAAAAATTATCTTCAAAACAGAGATAGCATTTGTCCCCGCCGTTGTTGTATCTTTATAGCGCTCCCAACACCTCTAATTTGTCTTATCTTGAATTCTTTTGCAGATGAAAACACAGCAAATGGTCCCTTTTATTTCAGCCAGCAAAGATGAATTTGTACGCTATGGTGATTGCTGCGTGGAGCACAAAGAAAACAGGGTTTCGAGTGTTGTAGACATTAACAAAAATCTGCCAACAATTCCTTAGTCTTTTCTCTGCTAGAATCCTCGCGAACCCTTTAATGGTCTTTCATTGATGATCTCTAATTTCACGAGGCATAGTTTGCTTTTGTGTATAGCAAATATATAAATAATTTCAAGTTGTTCTTACCAAAATGATCCATAAATCAATTCACACTAACATGCATACTGCCTTAAGACCTGGTATGACTCAATAGTAAAAAGGTTGTACCGTTACCAAAAGTAATGGTTTGATCAGCTGGAAACAAATTTTCGACTTTGCATTGGCTCCCCCAGCTAGTCAATGCTGATTTCAGCCGTGATTGGCTTTGACACAGTGCTTATTTTACTTATTCTGTACGAAAAAGTTAAGTTTCTCTGTAGGCTGAGACAGAGAATTTATAATTTATATTAGTGTAAACATTTCAGTCAGAGCCAGTATCGTTTGCATGGAGTCACTATTGCGTTGTCGCTTTCGAGTTCCATGGGAAGGAACTTTGTAGGATAGGCATTTGTTTAAAACTCATTCAGTTATTTTTTCAGTCAGTTATTTCATTTGTTATTAGATAACAATTGCTGATCAAAGTTATAATATATACTTGCTAATGAGTTCGATCATAGACTTCTTACAATGCATATAGCATAATGATTTCTGAGAGCATTACTTGAATATGTGATGATTGTAGAAGCCGAATATTCTGTCTGCTTTATCCTGTTTTCATGACGTGTAAGTTAAGCTCAAGGAAATAAATTGAAATTATCATACCTTAACATAACCTTTCATCAGCTTTGCAAAACATGGTCCGTTTCGAATTTATGCAAATTACTCGACTGAAGGTTACACTTGGAAATGTTGATATATTTTTTCAATTCAGTTTTTCTTTAGGGGAGATTTAGACGGTTCAACTTTGTGTCATACGACTAATTCGTCTCTAGTTTAAATTCGGTCAGTTTTTGGCATGAGTAGAGATAACAGAATGGACGCAAATATTAGGAGAACAACGGATTTTATTGGTCATCACACTTGCTAGCGAAATTTCTCAGCACAAAACACATCTTTTTCATCTAGGACAGTCGCTAGTTGCATTCATCGCGACACTCAACATCTGTCTTCCCGTTCTCTAAGCACTCGTCAACACAATTTTCCACAATGTTGTATGCACTCGGATCATTGATTACATCTCTGTAGTATTCTTCAGCCGTGTCTTCAGAAAGGTCTGCGGTGTCTGAGAAATGAAAAGTCATAGTTAAGTGACATTAAGTGGGCATCAAAATTGCATCCGCTGTTTCCAAGCAAGCATTATTAAGATGCACACATCTGAAAATCGGCTTTTTAATGTTGTTTTTTACAGCCCAGCATTGCCGTAACAGCAGACCTTAGCCTTATTTTACTGCCACTTTCCTTTCATAGAAATTAAAGCATATGGCCTCCTGCTTCTGAGAATTTATTTCGTGGAAAGATAATTGTCTCGTTTCAAACTCTCCTGGCAAGTTCAACACGATAGCTTCGTAAACACACTGTGACGTCACTGACGAAATTATAAGAGCGAAAAGGATCACTAAGTAAGCAGTCTTCATGCTTGAACTACTAGCAAAGAAATATTGAACAATCTGAAACATGTAAATTGATAAAACAAAAACAAACACAAACAAAGGAGAATGATTTTACTCTCTTACACTGCTGGGACCCTAAAAATTATTTAGAGAGGAAGTCACATTAGCCGTAGTTGGTTTTCATGCGGGTCCTCCGTCTTGGGGCGAATTGGAATTTGGAGTTTTGGTTTTTGTGGAGGGAAGGAA